GCACCGAGCTGGGCTGTCAACAGCTGCGCCGCAGGCCGCCCTCGGCCGGGCCTGCTCTTACTCCAGCGGCGCAGGCTCGGGCTAGTAGCTCCTGCGCTGGGCGGCCCCTCACCTCTTTCGGGACCAGTTGGTTCTCTCTCCGGGCAACATCGCTCAGACTCCGGCCGCTCCGCTCCGCCCTGCCGGGGGAGTGGGGAGGTGCGGCGGCTCAGGAGAGAACGGCGGCGGCAGTCATGCTCTCCGCCGCCCGCGCTCCTGCCACCGCGGAGGCCTCAGCCTGGGCCTGACACCAGCGCGCAGAGACCGACCCGCCGCTCGGCTGCCGCCGCCGTCGCCGTAGCTGTCGGCCCCTCCCCCAGCCCGCGGCTATCAATGGAAAAATGGCGGCGGCCGCTCTCGCGAGAATTCAGGCCGTCGGGCTGCGAGCCTGGCGCCCGCGGTGATGAGGCAGCTGTCGCCTGTGTTTGGTGACTTCAGGTCTTCCCCAGCCCCGAGGGGCACCGAATTGGTGGCGCGGCCATGCAGACGCTTTTTCCTGAGCGGGGTTCCGGGCCGTCCACCTCGGCGCTCCCTCTGCCGGCGGAGGAGGGACCAGGCCTCCTCCGAGTCCTCCGAGCGCTCCCGGGCTCCCCGTCCTCCCTGCCCACCGGGGAGACCCTGGCGCCCAACGCCCCTTCCTTCCCCGATCGCACCGCCGATGCTGCTCTCCTGGCGGGAGAGGAAAGCGCCTGAACGTCACCCCCTGGGCACGTGCCCTGGCCTCGGCCGGGAAGAGAAAGCACCCCGGGTTACCTCCCGACACCCGGCCCTCAACACGGCCCGAAGCAGAAAGGGCTGTTTTCTCTCCCCTCTCCCCACCCTCCCGACACAAGGGGCCGGCTCCCGTTTGGGGAGGCCACAGCCCCGGCCTCAGAGCAGTGGTGTCACCCACACACACTCACACACACACACTCACACACACCCCTCCATTGCAGCCGCAATCCCCTGCAGCCTTTAAAGCTACTTCCTTCTGCAACAGGTTCACGCCTGGGGCTGAAATGGCTGCAGGGAGTAGGGCTGCGGTTGGAGCCTATGATCCGCTTTTAAAATGTTTTTAGAGGACTTGCCTCTCCTCTAGCAGTAAGCATGGTGCCATAGTTATTTTTCCAAACCCTACTCATTCCTCAAAACTTTCCTTTTACTAACCAATGTCGCCCCAATAGATTGAATTCTTAAAAAAACTTTATGAAGACTGAGTGGGGTGTCCGTCATGAAGACCCCCGTGGATACAATGACTGGACAGCACGCGGAGATGATATGAGCCTGCCTCGTTCCCAACACCCACAGCATTACCTACCTCTACCCGTGCTCCTCCAAACTGTTTTTGATTGCACTCTATTACGAAATAGAAAAAAAAAAAAAGCCTATATACTCATGTAAGTCAAATGCACGTCCTGTTGGGTATGATTTTTTTAATTTAAAAAGGATAAGATAAAGATGAAACAAACATTTAAAGTAACTGTAAGAGTTATTTTTAGATGAATGGTAGAAAAACCCTTGTTACACTCAGTAAAAATATCTAGTGAAAGCAATATGATTGCCTAGGGTTCAATGTTTGTAAAAATCTTTAATATCTTGTGAAAGTTATTAAAATGTCTGATTCAATCTTCAGGTTATTTCTGTTCTTCATTTTAATGGCCATCATAAGCTGAAAAAGATAACTCACAAAGATAAGTAGATCCTAATGGAAGAAGTACATCTTTATCCTTAGCCGCTCTTCCTAATGCGTTTCCATTTTTATCACTTCCATCCACCAATCGTGGAAAGTTTTTGTAGACATTAAACTAGTAACTCTCTCTTTTCCCTGTTGTCAGCCAGAAGATGTTGCATTTTTATATTCTTAACAAACGGGTTCAAAACTCTCTGGAATCATTGCTCTGAGGATTTTTAAATAGGCTAGAAAATTCTGTCTACAAGTTTTAGTGTATATGTATGCTTTTTTTAAAGGTACTAATCTTGTCTATAAAATTTTGATATTTTGTTCATCACAGATTTTTGCATTAATTTTGACTTTTTAAAATGGTCATCTTGATTACTGCATTTTGGGGGCTCCCTTAAATCGTACACCCAAGGTGAATGCCTCACTTGTCTCATGGTAGTTCCAGCCTTGGGTAAAATACATACATTTTGCATCAAAATCACGTAATGAAATGTTTCCAAATCTCTGATTTCAAAATGTCATCTCCACTACTTAATAAGATGACTTCATTAGAGCTCATGCTAGAAGTAGACATGTCATCTCTATTCTTGTCATTTTTGCTTATGCTTGCATTATGAGCTCCAACTTATGTTTTCTTTCCCAAAATCTTTTTTAGCTACTTTCATTTTAGTGGGGGTTAGTTCAATGAAATAATAATGTAATTGGGAAATCTGCTTAGCCCAGAACACATAAACTGGAATATATCACAATATATTGAAAGGAAATAAAATAAAGAAATGCCTGAATTATTCTCCACATTGCATAATTTGCACTTTTCACTCTAATAATGAGATGCCAGTGTAAGTCTATATATTAAATATTTGTAAAATATTTTATTTTTCTTAGAAAAATATAAATATTTTTTAAAAAGTTATAGTATTTCCTTCCCATGATCCACTATATTTTTTAAAAGTAGTAATATTTTCTTCCCATGATCCACATTCTCTAGTTACACCCTCTTCTCTTTAGAGGCCAGTGGCATAACTGTACTAGACTCTGATAGGTTGATGGGTATACAGTAAGTATTTCTGGAAAGAGAATATGACTGCATTAACTGATTAACAAATAAATGAACAAATAGAGGTATGTGGCTGCTCTCCCTAGTAAATGAAGTTACTGATACTACATATATATGTGTTTATTTTATAGTTGTATTTTGACTCCAACCCTGACCTCTCCCATAGACTCCAAACTCATATATTCATCGACCTTTTTGATTACTCTAAATACCTCAAATTTAAGTTGACCTGAGCAAAACATTTGAATCTCAAGCCTCCCACACCTTGATAAACTAAATGGATGGTGCAATCTAGTATCAAGGCAAAAAGTAGAGAATTTTCATCTTATATTCAACTTATTAATAAATGCTGTTGCTTCCTCCTCTGAAATATATTCCAATCCAACCACTTTTCTTTATGTCCACTGCTGCCCATCGCATTCTAATAATCAGCTTATCTTGCCTATCCTATATAATAAGAGAGGAACATGCAAATTAACCGTCCCTCCGCTACGCTCAAGCCATGCCCACAAAGCCACGCCCACCAGCCAATCCAAGTGACTATGCAAATTACCCGCCAAAGATGGCGTTTAATTTGCATACACAGGTGTCAAGCGCCCCAGGAGACAACGGCGGCCGCGGCCGCGGGCTCCCAGGACTTTCGCCAGTCTGGAGGCGCGGCCGTCGAAGCCTAGCCATGCCTGCGGACTCCTGGGACTTTGCTGGCGGAGAGCGGGAGCTTTGGAGGACTTGGCAGAGCAGGAGACTGCTGAACATAGAACAGAACAAGAGAGAGAGGGCGGCCTGGAGGGCAAGGCTCCCTCTGTCACCCCAGCTTTCTCATCACAGCTGTGGAAACTGACAGCACGGAGGAGGATGTCCCACCCCCACAGAATCAGCCAGAATCAGCCATTGGTCAGACAGCTCTCAGTGGCCTGATAGACAGGACTCTCATTCACCTGGATCTCAGACTGCGACAGTAGAGAGGTGGGACTATGTCTAAAGAACAACTGTTGATACAACGTAGCTCAGTAGCCGAAAGATGCCGGCGTTATCAACAGAAAGTGTCTGCAGAGCAGCGTGCATCTGATCTTTTAAAAGAAGGCGGTGCTTGCGACAGGATGTATCTGAACACCAGCTACTGGAAAAACGCTGCTCTGATGCCAAAAAACACCGGCATTATCGACAGAAAATGTCTAAAGACCAGTGTGCCTTTAAAGTTGAAAGAAGGCGGTGGTGACGACAGAATATGTCGAGAGAACAGTCATCAACAAGTACTACTAATACCAGTAGGAACTGCCTTCTCAGCGAAAATGGAGTACATGAGGATGCAATCCTCGAACATAGTTGTGGTGGAATGACTGTAGATGTGAATTTTGCCTATCACTAAATTTCTCGGATGAAAAACCATCCGATGGGAAATTTACTCGATGTTGTGGCAAAGGGAAAGTCTGTCTAAATGATATGTATTTCCCAGATTACCTGGCATATTTAAAAAGATTAATGACAAACAAAGATTCTGACAGTAAAAATTTCATGGAAAATATTCATTCCATAAATAGTTCTTTTGCTTTTGCTTCCATGGGTGCAAATATTGCATCGTCATCAGGATATGGGCCATACTGTTTTAGAATACACGGACAAGTTTATCACCGTACTGGAACTTTACATCCTTCTGATGGTGTTTCTCAGAAGTTTGGTCAACTCTATATTTTGGATACAGCCGAAGCTACAAGTAAAAGATTAGCAATGCCAGAAAACCAGGGCTGCTCAGAAAGACTCATGATCAACATCAACAACCTCATGCATGAAATAAATGAATTAACAAAATCGTACAAGATGCTACATGAGGTAGAAAAGGAAGCCCAATCTAAAGCAGCAACAAAAGGTATTGCTCCCACAGAGGTAACAATGGCGATTAAATACGATCGTAACAGTGACCCGGGTAGATATAATTCTCCCCATGTAACCGAGGTTGCTGTCATATTCAGAAATGAAGATGGAGAACCTCCTTTTGAAAGGGACTTGCTCATTCATTGTAAACCAGATCCCAATAATCCAAGTGCCACTAAAATGAAACAATCAATATCCTGTTTCCTATATTAGATGCAATGACATATCCTATTGCTTTTCCACATGGTGAAAAAGGCTGGGGAACAGATATTGCATTAAGACTCAGAGACAACAGTGTAATAGACAATAATACTAGACAAAATGTAAGGACACGCGTCACACAAATGCAGTATTATGGATTTCATCTCTCTGTGCGGGACACATTTAATCCTATTTTAAATGCAGGAAAATTAACTCAACAGTTTTTCGTGGATTCGTATTAAAAAATGGAGGCCAATCGGATAAATTTCATCAAAGCAAACCAATCTAAGTTGAGAGTTGAAAAATATAGTGATTTGATGGATTATCTCAAATCTAGATCTGAAAAGGACAATGTGCCGTTTGGTAAGATGATAATACTTCCATCATCTTTTGAGGGTAGTCCCAGAAATATGCAGCAGTGATATCAGGATGCTATGGCAATTGTAATGAGGTATGGCAAGCCCGATTTATTCATAACCATGACGTGCAACCCCAAATG